TGTCGCCGAGCTCTTCCCCTCAAAGTACCGTGCCAAGGGGATGGCGCTAGCTACCGCAACCAACTGGCTGTGGAACTTCCTTATCAGCTTCTTCACAACTTTCATCACCAAGGAGATCGACTTTGCCTACGGATACGTCTTCGCTGGCTGCCTTTTCCTAGCTGTCGGTGTTGTCTATTTCTTCGTCATTGAAGGAAAAGATCGCACACTTGAGGAGCTTGACTGGATGTATGTCAACAAGGTTGTCCCCTGGAAGAGCAGCCGCTACGAGATCCCCGAACGCCACCAGGACTGGATTGCGGATGAGAATCCGTACGGACGCAAGTCACAGGGAACCATTCACGCGGAGAACGCGTGAGAACAAAGGCCTCTTCGGAAAATAACAATTTCTTATCCTTTTTACTGGTGTTGCGTTCTGGACTCGCGTTTGTTATGATGCATGAACTTGCACGATATCATCTTGGGCCTGGAGTACTGAGTTGCATTATTGTGCACAATCATTTCTTTTGTATATATAGAGGATCAGCCATATACATATCGCGTTTATAGAATATAGACATACTTTCACAGCCTGAATTCCACCCAAACTACGAGCGAGTCAAAAGTCGATGCTACATTTGTATGTAGATGATTCACGTGGTTAGGCGCATTTGTTGCTATACTATGTTTGCTTCCTCTATGGGGATTTCGTCCCGGATATCACGAATGCAGTCATCTGATAATTAGAAAAACTAGGCACGGCAGGGAAATGCTTGCTTCTACGAGAGGTGAGATGACTATATATCCCTACATAATGTTTGTAAATCAAGTAACTCAATAGCATGATAAGTCGCTGACAATTTGACAATTACAAACGTTGCGAAAAAACTCATTGCACTGCGATCTGAAGCCATAATCGGAGTCAACTGCCGTTCTACGGCCAAAGCGATCAAGGTATGTGCATCCAAGGGAGTTTAGTTTGCATGGCACGCTTTCGAGCTACCGGCATAAGCGCTGGAAGTGTGGGACTTCGTGGATGTGGCCTTGCTGGAAGTTGCAGCGGTAGTCCGCGCGGATGTGGCGAACGAAGATGTAGAGCCTCTCGTGGACCCTTTGGATTCAGCCGTACCAAGTCCCGCGACCAATTTATCACCAAGAGACTTGATGCTCTTTTCAAACGTTTTGCTGTCCTTGGCTTTCCAGTCTGCCTTGGATCCCGGAACTGCGCTCTTTCCGGTGAAGCCAATGTACAAGACATCCTTTTCACTATGTCCACTGTCACCAGTAATGTCCTCATCAGGGAAACAGAGCTTAGCCAGAGAGATGGAAGCTTCTCCGGTGGAGGTGTGGCCGTTGGTGTCACCCCAGATACCATAGTGCTGTGGGCATGAAATTTTAGCAGGAAAACCTAAGAGAACGGGAACAGGGGCGAGGTACCAGTTTGTCACCACACACAATCGCCATCACACTCAGATGCTCCATACCGTGCTCATCAGGCATGAACCTGGGTTTATGGTCCTCGTTTCCAAAAACCACATAGGGGTGAATGTTGGCATCCAGGTCTTTGATCCCAAAGTGTTCCACTTCATCCTGGAAAGCCGTGACACCTTGACCACTCTGGTCATTGCTGCAGCCTCCCGCGGAGTTATTGGCACCATCACAATCGATGTCCATGTCAGCGTACGATCCCCCCTTGGAGGTGCTGTGCAAGAAGATAGCCCCGTCTATGTCGCCGCAATAACCCATGTCGGTTGTGCCTTCGTCTCCATCGTCGAATCCTTTAGCGAGCAGGTTTTTGCATTCAGTATTCTATACATCTTAGCCCCATCGATTATAGCTGACGGATGATGAGTATTACCTTGTGGGATTTATAGATTTCTTGCAAATTGGCGGGCACCTCATAGGCAAAAGCAAGGCCCACAGAGGACAGAATCAAGGTACTGAGAACGTGCATTTTGGGCGAAAAAAAGACAAACCAAATTGACACGTTGGTCTGGAATGGCTACAGCATAAAAAGGGCGTAGGAGGTTGTGAAATATATACACCAGCTATAACCTCCATATGTGTCGGATATGCAGGGGAAAATGAGAAAAGTCCACTCGGGCGAAATGATGTGGTGTTTCGGAAGATCTTAAAATGAATATTGATTATGGGCAATTTCCAAAACAGGATCTTGCGCAATTGTGCCTGTTATTATTCCACCCACATCCTTTCAAAGCCCAATGGTAGACGGCAACCCGGTCATACGCAATAGGCAAGTGGACCCCAAATATCTAGCCTAGGGGACATTTCTTGAATATTTGACATCCTGAGCGATCATCCTTGTCTATCATAGGGACACCATGCACAGTGATTGCCGATCTTAACGATGCAACCTTGGGGAAAGAGGCGCTAATAACTTGATGCAAATTCTGGGGTAGATTATGGTGTCTTTGCATCAACAAGGCAAGCAACGCGTTAGTGATGGTCGTTCTGATAGTTCATATTGTATCTAAATAATAACGGGTTCAGTCAAAGGCTGAACATGGATATAGTCTCTTTTCAATTTTTCTACGCATAAAGTACGTAGTATTTGGCAACTTTGGATGTCGGGGATTAAAGGGACATGAAACGCGGGCAACTCGGACCAAATTTGAACAAAAAAGCCGATCATGAATTGCTTTGCCATGCGATACAAAGCATATGACCCCAAGAAAAAGATAAAGCAAAAGACCAATTAACCAATCCGGAAGGGATTCTCGGGGACTAAAGCCAGGGTATTGAAAGGAATATGGCTTAGAATCTGGCCCCCACTGTACTACTATGTACCTGCAGCGAATCTATTTGTGGAGCTAATCTTGCTGCTTCTGGCGTGCATTATTTTGTCTGGAACAGAGTACTCCGTAGAAGCGAAGTAAATAATTTTCTAAATAGCCCTAGAGGTCGAGATTATTGGTCAATCTCAGATGAATATCCTAAGACCAGCTTATGCCACTAGTCTGAGCACGACCGTTTTCAGAACCGCAACCGCCACCTTAATGCAATTTTCCTCTTTTGGCGAACTCAAGTCTGGCCTGTAATGTCCGACGACCGACTGATTCGGTTATGATGTCCCCGAATCCTGCGATCAACATGGATAGGCAGCGCCACAGAAGGAATGTTAGTGCCCATTGCACCAGTTGTGGACATGATGTAGATAGCGTTTAGAACTAACTCAAGCCAGGCAGAAGGATAGATCCCAAGTTTACAAGTCTGGCATGTGATATGTTATCTACTTGATCGGGGCGAAATCTCTGCCATGTCTGCGTTATCGGGGGGATCTGCAGGTCAAGATACTGGGCTTGGTTGCGAGAGCTGGTTACCCGATGCAATAGGTATTGAAGCGGGAGTACCTGGAAACGACTTCGCTGTCGTTTGTGTGGATGCCATGTGCCAATCAAGGGACACAAGCCAGAAAAATGCGCGCGAGAAATTAGGAACCTTAAGATGGCTTCTCAGGAAATGGATATTAGACTCGATTTGTCTGGTCAACGGAGCCATGCTGCTGACCGGTATGGCGTGCGGGATTTTGACAGCCGATCTTTGGGCTTTCACCTTGTTTTCCTATACAGCAGTCATTGGCTCGCCTCGGTGCTTATTTAATTCACTTCTATGGTCAAGATCTACAGACCCGGTCATATCAAAAACGACTTGCGGGATAGATATGCGGTGTATGGACGCGATGGGGGGGGGGGGGGCACTGTGATATTCAAA